CTCATTTTATAAGGTATTTTGTGAGAGGAGTGCAATGCACTTGTCTCACTGGCATGACAGAGAAAGCGCCTCCCTCATTTGACTGTCATTTGTGGATTCGTTGGCCTGTGTCTGACCATAGTCCCACTCCCTCCCCCTAACGATCTGTTCATGCTGTGAGATGTTTCAGAATGACCTTTATAAGCTTTAAGTCTATTTATATTAGGCCACTGAAAAACATCTATTTAGTTTTTGTTTCTTTGAGCTATTCAGAGGTGGACTTGTTGGTATGATTCACTTCGTTGTCCTGCTGCATAGCGCAAGTGTGCTTGAGCTTCTGGGCTCAATGGGATATTAGACAGAAGAATTCATGGTTTCATCAATTATGTCCAAAGTTGCCCCAGACCATCAAAGTACAACCACCATGTTTGAGATTTGTTGTTCTTTTTCTGAAATGCTGATTTTTTTTTTCTTTTCTTTTCTTTGCTTTTGGAAAAGAAAGGCACCACAAAAAAACCAGACTTGATTGTCTCAGTTTTCATTACAGGTCTGAGTTCACCTTAATAAACTGAGTAGAAAATAAATTGAGGTTACAGTCTTCCTCAGTTACCTCTTACTGGTTTATTGCTGTTGTGACTGTTTTTGCCTGGTTGTGCTGAAACACAATCTGTATTGAAGGATAAGAATGAAACAGATAAATCTTTTGTATTTCTCCTTAGCACAACGGGTTAGCAGACTCTCCTCGTGCATTACTGAGCCCAACACCAGAGGTTCAACAAGCCAACTCATCAGAAAGCACGACCCCCTCCACATCAGCACTTTCTTTTATAGCCCACCACAACACACAGCAAAGTGCACACCCTCCAACTGCCCCTCAGATGCCCTTAGCTGAAGTGGTGGGCCCCAGATAATCTGAGTCTCGACTACTTTTGACCTTGCTCAGAACCTCAGATTAAAGAGGTCGTGACTTTCACAAGTTTTTTACCACACACAAAACTTCTGGTAAACATCCTACATGAGAAGTCTGCAGATAAGATCATGAGTGGACGCAGCGAGAGGCCATAACAGCCCTGTGTAAGGTCAGACACCAAGTCATTCATGTTGAAAATAACCTCAGGGCGAGAAAGAAGGAGGAGGAGAAAATGGGGGGGAAAAGCTCTACATAGTTGCTCTGACCATGTCCAATGTTTCCAAGCTAGTGTGACTGTATCAAGTTCCTGCCAGAGGAGGAGATGGCTCCAGAGTAGAGGACTATGACCAAGACATCTGTCTCCAGTGTTATCAGAGGGAACATTGTTTGTGCTTAAGACTGCTGTCTAGCAGTCTGAAGCACTAGTGTTGATGAGCATGGTGAGGCAGACTGAGTCTGAGGGAAGGCACAGGAGAGATGTGCAGCCTCTCTGACTCAGCAGACGCTCGGGGTCGACGGTATAAAAATTAGATCACACAGAGGACACAAGCTATTCCTCTACACTGATGAGAAATGGAGTTTCCATCTCCGCCGAGTGTTAGTGGTGAGTATGTTTACTCTGGACTGGTGAGGTAAATGTTCTGATGTGTTGTTTGGATATGAGATTAGTTTCAACCCCTGAAGGGCTCAGAGTAGTTAAGCCCAAAGAGTTTCAGCCCTGATCAGCTGTTATCCATGAGCTGGTAATATACTGGTGTACTTCCAATTGCTTCCCATGATGCACTTCTTCTTCACTCACCTCTTTTCACTCTCTGCAATGACTCATTAGTTATTATTAATCTCTGCCTCTCTTCCACAGTGGCTTTTGTCCCGTGTCCCTCCCCTCATCCCCATCCAGTCACAGCAGATGGCCCCACCCCTCCCTGAGCCTGGCTCTGCTGGAGGATTCTTCCTGTTAAAAAGGAGTTTTTCATTCCCACTGTCACCAAGTGCTTGCTCACTGGGGATCATCTGATGGTTGGGCTTTTCTCTGTATTATTGTAGGTGTAGGGTCTTTACCTTACAATATTAGTTCCCTTGACATGATGGTTGCTGTGATTTTGCATTATTTGAATACAACGTAACTGAACTGTAACTGACTTTTGAGGGGGAAAAAACCTCACTGAAAATATTTTTCCAAACTTGGAAGACTGACGGAAATAGTTTTTAAAACAATATATAGGGGCAAATTTCAAGTTTTAGTATTTGTTGGTTTAGAAAAAACTGTGGGAGGACTCTTGAATACCCAAAGAGAACCCACACAGACACGCGGAGAATACGCTAACTTCACACAGAGATGGTGCTAACCACCGTGTCAACATGTTGCCCAATACCTACACTGACTTTCCTAAATCTTGCCGGCGGCATACACATTCTCTTGTCCTCTGGCACCTTCACTTCCGCAGATGTCATAGCGCTGCGTGTGTGTGTTGTGTTTGTGTGCGCGCACCTGTTTGTGCTCAGGGAGCAGAGGTGTGCGCAGTATGTAGAGCATCAACATGTAGCTTCTCTCCGAAGGCTGACTCATGCCTATATATCACGCAAACACACCCTCAGGTTTTGGCATCATTTCTTCTGTGTTTGCTTGTTTTCCTTTCCATCAGTCTGGCAGCAGAAGGTATCACGGAGGTGGAGCGGTCTTAAAAAAAGATGCATCACTGACAGGCTCACATGGTGAAGAAGTGAGGTAAATGCACAGGTGAGTCACAGGTAAACATGAAATGTTAACTTGTTATGACGTTTTATTTAAAGTCTGTTGGATTCTGTTGTTTCCCACAAGATGTGTAGCACTAGTCCACAACCTGTGGTCACTTATACTGTTTATTCTATGTTTAACTGTTTCATCCACAAACACTTCCTCAGAGTATTCAAACAAACAGAAAACTGATGCTAAACACACAAAACAGAATAGAAGTTGAAAATAAAAACCTACAGTAGGAATAGAAAAAAAATCCACACAAATGGTAAATGGCCTGTATTTGTATACAGCTCATCCACACACAGGTGAAGGCAAGCTATAGTTGTAGCCACAGCTGTCCTGGGGCAGACTGACAGAAGCGAGGCTGCCATATCACGCCATCGGCCCATCACCAGTAGGCGGTAGGTGAAGTGTCTTGCCCAAGGACACAACGACCGAGACTGTCCGAGCCGGGGCTCGAACCGGCAACCTTCCGATTACAAGGCGAACGCCCAACTCTTGAGCCACGATCACCTGGACAAAAATCACACAAAGTGTTTTTGAGGAGACATTCATTTGAAGAACAGCAACAGAAGTGCCAGAAACCAAAACATGCAAACAATTTCACAGCGACAAAGATGCAAATGTTGTGTGTTTTTATCGCATTCGTCATATAATACTGTAGATACATGTTTGGTATTAGTCGTTCATGGTTAGCTTGTCACTTCTGCAGGTGTTTCATGAAGTTGTCTCCCCAGAAACACTTGTGTTTTGTGAGGTTTTTGCCCCTCAGCTGTAAAAGACTGATAGGATATTGTCGTCACCCTGCAGTGTGGACACCCAAGTTTGTGAATGCAATAAATCGATAACGAGGCAATGTAATTAGATATTCTTACCATAGATGCATCTACTAAAAGTCTTGGACTAGTACAGGTGCTAATACCATTGATATGATCTATTAGAAGGCTGAGGGGCTGCTAGCATTTTATGGGGGATTTTTTGTGAGTTTTGTTGTGTGTTTTTTTTGTTGTGTACTTTTGTTACCATTGTCTGTCGACAACACAAAAGCTACTAAACTAAAATTTTATGAACACAGACAAAAACAGAACCCATAACAAGATAAAGCATTGACCTTAGCAGAAGATGTGCTGTCCCAGGCTTTGGAAAGTTGTAAATCTATTTCGATTATCGCTCTTTTGAACAGCACTTTTATTTGCCTGTGTGGATAATGAGTTTCTCTGATTTTGATTCTGTAACGGATCAGTGACAAGCTGTGGTACAGCTCTTGGTAGTCTCTTGAGGACCCAAACCAGTAGGACCCTTGCAATGAGTTAAGCGAAGATCCACATTTGTGCCAGAAAGGGAGGAGGAAGAGACATGCCGTCATCGAGTGCTATCAGCCACACTCGTCTCTCACTGGTGACTCAAGGTTTTCCAGTGATTCACGTCTGCACAGAAGCTGAACGACAGGCTCAAAGTGTAGTGACTCTCCCCCTTTTTCTCACCACCTATATCCTCCTCTTCCTATTATTTCACTCTCCATTCATCTCTTTGTCCACATTCCCTTTCCTTCCTGTCTGCTAATTGTTGCTGCACCACACCATTTATTTCTCCACCGAGCCCACAGTAGTTCTCCCCAGGCCACCAATTTTCAGCAGCGTCTCGAGGCTCCTGTTGGGAGACCTCCAGGACGTTCAAAAAAAACAACCTTGAACACACCCAGCTGTACCTCCAGGCCGGTGCAGCCCAAAAGGGGATTTCACCTTGCTGATGACGGGGCACACTCTTCCTTCCTGAACCCATATAAATCTGTCGGTGGGCTTCGTCCTATGGTCTAACATTAAAGCTGTTTTCCATGACATGTTGCTCAGCAGGGGAGGGAAAGCTGTTATTGACTAATATAAGCCGGTCTAGGATGACTTGTGTTTACTATTCGCTGTTTCTGATTTCAAAGAAGATCAGCTGACCTCTCAGTGTTTGAACTGAAAGGTACAATATAAGAAGTGAATTCTTTTCAAGAGCCAATACATACAATTTTCAACCAGTATTGCCTGATTTTTATGTGCTTTTGTTGCTTCGCCATTCTTGCCTTCTACTCGTGTTTTTATTGTGCTGTAAGTAAATAACACAGTGAGTTCTCTCCTCCAAGAAGAATGGCAAGAATGGGCTTGTACGGACGTTTCTCATCTGAGTGAAGGACCTCTGTCATCTCACACTGTGAATGGCAGAGGCTACCAGCCTTAGGCTATAATCAAACACACTCCCACAGGCATGCATGCACACACTGATGCACACGCTTAATGCAAGCTTTGTGTTAGTGCAGTGTTGTAGTCCTGGGAACCATATGCATTTTCTGTTTTCTTATGAAAGGAGCCATAAAAAGAGTCATCTATCATTTTAAACATTTAATTTTCAAGCTTGGAAAAAGCAAAGGAAAAGCAGCGTCTTTACAACACAAACAGACTGTACTTTTTAAAGTCAGAGAATAAATACATAAGCATGTTGAATGTTGAAACCAGATCTTAGTCACATTTTCTTTCAGAGCGCTTTGTACTACTTGAAAGCTAGCATGCTGTATGCATAGTTACATAGCACTGTTTTTTATGCTAGTCTGTCTGTTTTTATTTCCGACACACCCATTTTTATTACCTTACATTTACTAATGCAACTCCAATAATTCATCCTTTGCAGAAGGCCGAAAAAGGGGACAATTTAGCACAGCAAAAATATAATTATGTGAGTTGTCATCTGTAGATTGCAAAACATTCCTTAGAATTAACATTTTCAAATTCAACATCAAAACAAAATACCTAACATATGTAACATTCTGCAGTCTAGATTGCCATTGCTCCTTTATCTGTGTTCAGCTTGCAGGACTGTAGTTTGCTCTACAATCACAGCCTTCCTGTAAGTTTCAATAACAGCAACAGTAAGAGCACAAGGTTACTCCCTCAAACCCTTAAAAAGTCCATCAGGGTTCTTCAGTTTTCAGGACTTCACAGTACTCGTGAAGCTTGTTACAGTATATCAGAGCACAGGGGGAAGCTGCTCTCCGGCTCCTGCAGGTAGCTCACCTGCCATGGAAGTCCCAGAGTAGCAGATGGCTCTGCAAAGGTGTCCATGTATCCCTGAGTGCAGGAGGCCCACATCCCCGGCTGGTATCCCAACCCCTCATCCACCTGAGGGTATCTCAGAGGGCTGGGTGGAAGATCACAGGGGGTGCCACAGTGTCTGTGCGAGGCATAAAACTGTCCCTCGGTGGGATAACAAGGGTAGTGTGGTGATGGGGGACATGATGGCACTGTGTTGTCTATGTAGGCATGAGGTCTGTGCATGTGAGGCGCTGGCTGTGGCTGCATCTGTTGAGAGACGGATGCGTGCCAGGGGACGTAGCTCTGATGCTCCGGACAAGGAACTGTTAACCTCGTCTGCTCAAGCCGTGACGCCCCCATCGCTGCCGGTCCCACTGATGACCTGTTGCACTCACGGTGGGCGCAGGGCTTACTGGGTGGATGAGAGCTCAGGAATACTGAGAGAGCAGAGATGCGGTTGATGGCTCGCTGTAGTGTGGCAATCTTGGACAGCCGTTTGCCACTGAGGTCATGGTTCAGGGCAACGCGGAGGGCATTGAACGCCTGGTTGTAGTCCATAATGCGTTTTCGCTCGCGGACATTAGCGGCCATTCTTCGAGCTTTTGAGCGAACCGGTCGGTTGCGCTTCTTGGTTTGGCCTTCCTCTGCTTCGCTTGGGCTGCTGGTTGAACTCTCGTCTTGGAATGATGGCTTGGGACTTCCTTCATCTTCGCATTGGACCAGACCGCCAAGTTCAAGCTCTTCCTCAGAGAACTCGGAGCTCGCAACGCTGCTGCAGCTCATTGTGTCGGTAGTGCGCGCACCAGATGAGACAACGTAAAATCTTCCTTCCTGTAGTGCAATTTCAGTGAAAATCCTAGATGTGGTTTGCACGAGGAGCTGTGAGTGCAGGGTTCCAGCACTCCGCCGCACGCTCGCTGATGTGCCTCGGCTTCTTTTGTGGGGCTGTCGGTGTTTGCTGCTGTGCCGACAGCCCGTGTATTCTCCTGCTCTGAGTCCCCTGGTGCTGTGTGATAACTTGTGCAACAAGACAGGTTTACCTGCTTTTTAAAGATCTTGAGGTCACATGGTACACTCACCTGTAAAGAATGATGCACTCTCTCTCCCTCTTCAGGTTTATGGGCACCCTCAAGGCAAATGGCACTGACACGTCCTCCTCCTTCTACTCTGACTCTCCCTCACAGGAGAGTTTCAACACTTCATTGTAAAATAAAAGCAAAATGCTGCACTTTGGAAATGCCAGTTTGCTTCATACCACAGTTATTATAGTTTTCCATTTTCTGATTGTTTTTTATTTCCTTTTGTTTTCAAGGCAGTTTAGTTTAAGTTTTACAGTTTGAAACGTTTTAACTTTGTCTTAGTTTCTACCAGTTTCAGTATTACTTACACTTTTATGGAGCATATGTCAGATTTAGGAAAATTAGTCCAATAAAACTTTGTGAGAACAGTTGACTCACAGTCTTGTAGACATGCAGCGTCTCAATAAGCACATCTATCGATGCCTCATCAGACAAACTGTCATAAAATTTTACCGAACTAAGAAATAACGAACTTACTGACAATAAATGGTCGCAAAATCATTTCAGTTGGTTAAAAATGTTTTCAAGAGTCTAGTTTTTATTTTTACTTTATTTAATTAGTTCAATATCAACATCTTGGCTCATTTCATTCAGCTGTAATTCACTTTTCTTTAATCACAGGCCTTCGGTCACTCTGTCTTTCACCTTTACAAACAACAGCACGCTCAGTCTGATTGTTCCCCACAATGACTTCTTTCTCTGCCCTGTACAATATGTAATTTTACATTATTTACTAATGAAGGCATATTCATTATTCATTTAAATACATCTTCTATCAAATTAGTCCCACAGATCTTCATGACAAATTGCACATTTACCTGTTATATGCGCTTCCCCATGTGTCAAGCCTGGGAAGTAAGCAACCTTCTTATCTACCTTGGGTTAGATTCAAGCTTGCAATTAGCCGTCTCTGGAGTGGCGATTCTCCTTCTCTCTGTATCTCACTGCTCAGGCTTAAGGGCCATGTAATTTAGAGTAGCTTCCCTGGAACTTGTCCTCATAAATCAGGCCTGGGCAGCACTGGAGGACAAGAGCAGAGCGAGCCTGAGACTTCAAAGACAGAGGGAAAAAAGGGGGCAAATATTTTACAATCAGAACCTGCAATTGGTGCCGGCTTAGGCTATCGATCTTTCAGTCTTTTGCAAGTGGAGATGGGGATCCATTTAAAGTCAGATGCAATGTTGTAATGCAGTTTAATATTAAATACGGAAATCTTACTGCAGTTTGCAAAATGATTATAATGTATGATTTATTGTTCGCGGTAATGGACAAAGACAGCGCTTTGTGTCTCGTTTCTCTTGTTTTTCTTTCCTGAGTATTTAAATAAAGAACATATATGCTTGTATGTTCAAAGGGGTGGATGTTCCCTCACTGCAAATTAATACAATACAGTTATTCACAGTTATGCTGTGATGAAACATTTCTATCATCAGTGGTGTTGTTCCATCCACCGGACATGAAGGCTCAGTGAATACTTGGCATTTCTCATTTTTACGCTGTCTGATTTTAAGTGTACTAGATACCAAATAAAAGAAAATCCTTTGAAAGAATAGTACTCCATTCCTCCAACATAGTAACAGAGACCTTGGCAATCAGTGCTGAGGAGTACTGCAGATTTCCTGTTTTCCTTTCACTTCTTTCTTTATGTCAGATTTTAGAGTGGATAGTAAGGTCATAGTTAAGCTTTGAGCCAAGTAAAGAATAGACTCTAGTAGCAAAACACTGAACTGAAGGTCACTGCGAAGCTCTGAGGTAGCAACCTTTAAAAACATTACACACACAGAAGAAGGACATCTAATTATAGTGCTGTAAAAAAGCATTTGCCCCTTCTTGATTTATTTTACTTCAGATTGCCAAATAAATTTTAATATTTGACAAAGATAACCCAAAAGGCAGTTTTAGAATGAAAATGTGATTTATTAAGGGAAAGAAAGTGACCCAAACCCTTTGCTCCTAAACCCAGTACTTGGTTGTGATATCCTTGGCAGGAGGAATAGAGTCAAGCGTTTATGTGATCATTGGAAGTGACTTTTCATTAGTGAGTCTTTCAGTTTTGGCCCACTCTTCTTTGCAGAATTGTCTTAATTCAGATACACTGGAAGGTTTTTGAGCAGAAAAAACATATTTAAGGTCATGCCAGAGGATATCAATCAGATCCAGACTTTCCAGACTTGGAAATGACTTTGTCACATACAGTCAGGTAGGTTTTGATACATTTTTTCCCCACATAAATTTCCTTTACATCACAGGTGTCAAACTCCAGGCCTCGAGTGCCGGTGTCCTGCAGGTTTTAGACGTGTCCTTGATCCAACACAGCTGATTTAAATCGCTAAATTACCACCTCAACATGTTTTGAAGTTCTCCAAAGGTCTAGTAATGACCTAGTCATTTGTTTCAGGTGTGTTGACCCAGGGTGAGATCTAAAACCTGCAAGACACCAGCCCTCGAGGCCTGGAGTTTGACACCCCTGCTTTACATAGACAGGGAACTCCAACAATCAGACGACCCGCCTATGAGAAAGGACTTGGTGATGGTAAGAAGGAAAAACGTCCTTTTAACAGGAAGAAACCAGCGTAACCATGCTCGGGGAGGGGTGGTTGTCTGCCATGGCCGGTTGAAGATGAAGTAAAAGAGAAGAGCGCAGAGGGAAATAGGACGAAAACATTGAGGGCAGAGAGCTAGATTTTAAAATTATTAGTGGTATAATAGTGACAGTGACACATAGTGAGAGGTGGGTGAAGAAGAAACACTGCCCCCAGCAGCTTACCCCTATTGCAGCATAGCTAAGGGATGGTGCAGGGTCACCTGATCCAGCACTAACTATGAGCTTTATCAAAAGCAAGGTTTAAAGTCTAATTCCAGACATGGAGAGAGTGTATGTCTCCCAAATCCAAACTGGGAGCCTGTTCCACAAGTAAGCCGGCAGTCTGAGAGCTAAGAGCTCCACTGGGACACTATGGTACTATGAGGTATTTAATATATGATGGAGCCTGATTATTCAAGACATTTTATGTGAGCAGAAGGATTCCAAATTCAATTCTGGATTTAACACAGAATCAGTGAACAGAAGCAAATGAGGGAGAAATGTGCTCTGTCTTTCTAGCCCAACCAGTACTCTCACTGGAGCAATATGGATCAACGGAGGGCTTTTTAAGGAACGTTTAGAACAACCTGATGAAAATGAATTACAATAGTGGAGCCTAGAAGTAATAAATGCATGAACTAATTTTTCAGCATTACTCTAAGGATGTTCCTAGTTTTAGAGCTTTTGCAGATATGCAAGACGGCAGTCCTGCATATTTGTTGAATGTGCACACTGAAAAAAATATCCTGGTCCTGATTCCTCACAGAGGCCAAGGTAATATAATCTAAAATAACTATCTGATCAGACACCATGTTTTTAAAATTTTTAGGGCAAAACACAATAACCTCAGTTTTGTCTTTATTCAGAAGTAGCAACTTAGAGGTCATCTAATATCAAAATATTAATTAAAATATCATTTAAAACAGTATTTTCTATTCACCTGGGTTATGTTTGGTTCCTATGTTTTTTAACTGAATATAACTGAATACATACATGTACGGTAACATGGAAAAAGTTTTTTCATACCTTGATTACATTTTTTCTGCACAATTTGCTAAAAACAAGTGAAACAGACATTTTTAAAACCCATTTTAAGTTAAGTATGTGGAAAATAAGAATGCATTTTCTTTGAGGACTTTAAAGCCAACTTACACAAATACATCCACTACCATCTGTTAAAGGGCTAAATCACTGGTTACTTTGGAATATACATACATGATTGCCAGTTAACAATATAATGTTAAATCTCACGTATCACCACAAATCATTTTAATAACAGGGAAGAAGCATACAGTATGTGCCACCTATCAATGTGAACAGTAATATGGATACAGACGTACTAGGAGCTGTGGTGTAAATTACTGTATTACAGACTGTGTTACTTTATAATGTGCCCACACTGTGACTGTGTCTGTGAAAGTTCTCAGTCATCCAGGTCATCGTAGTCTAAGAGCTTGGAAAGAAACACGTCTGGACAGCAACTTAAAGAAGTTCAGGTGCTTTTCTTTGTATAGTTTGCATACATCGACGTTTTTATCTATAGTTTGCAATTCATATGTCCATGCTTCATTAAAAAAAATCCTTCTCACTTACTTGTTTTAACAGCATAGATCTTAAGATTTTTCACTCCTAAGATTTTTGCACAGCAAACTTGTAACTTTGCAAACTTTTTTCTGCCTTGGTTTGCAGTTGACCATTCCTGTGAAGTTATAAAGTAACCACTTAAACCACTGTACTTACCACACCTTTCAAATAACCCTGCATACCTCCATAGCTTAAATGGTTTGAAAAGTGCAGCCCATTGCTGCTCAGCTCCATGAAGCGCACAGGCTTTATCGCAGGCATTGATTTATGGCTTCACAAACATGTCAGATTTACTGCTGTGGTGTAAAGAGCATGAAGACTACAGCCTCGGACTCTCCCCGTCCATTCATTTTTGACAGGTGACAAGACACCAGTAATTATCAGCCACCGAGAATAAATCACAAGATTTTATCACGCAGCTCGCCGTGCCCTTGACAGAATAACAATTTTCAAGCAGGGGGAACCAGTCCAACGCTGCTGAACCTAAGATTTGTAAATCTCTCGCTCAAACCCCCATAATGACTGGTTGTTAGCCGTTTGTTATTAGAGGTCTGTGTGCCAAACATTATAGATGTATATTTCCTAAGGGATAGTTAGGGGTAATAAGTGAGTAAAGTCCAGGCTCGCTAACCTTGGCTTTGCAGTGGTATGTTAATGTATGTTTTTGGTGTCTGCCACAGAATTTTCTCACCTCAATAAAAAGCCTCCTCTCAGATAATAACTTTGTGGTTATCTCGGCCCCTCCGCTATTTCTCACACCACAACTTCTTTCTTTTCTTCATTTGTCTAAAAATCAGTG